AACAAACTGAAACTGGTGTGTGTGCATACACACACACACACACAAAATGAATGGTCATCAATTTTAAAAACACAAACTGAACCTGGTGTGCATCCACACACACACACACAAAATGAATGGTCATCAATTTCAAAAACAAACTGAAACTGGTGTGCGTGCATACACACACACACAAACAAAATGAATGGTCATCAATTTCAAAAACATGAACTGAAACTGGTGTGCGTGCATACATACACACAAAATGAATGGTGATCAATTTCAAAAACACAAACTTTGTGATTTATCTTTTTATAGTTTGACAGATAAGATGTTCAAAGAAAATCTACAGCTGCCTCCAATAATTCACGTCACATGAATCAGTTGAAAGCAGTGAAGAAATCAAAGTGTTGAAGGCTAAAACACAACTGAATGAAAACCTGGTTAGGTTACATATTTTGTACATTTGAAAAATTTGAATTATTTTAATTCTTACTTTACACATTTCAGCTATCTAGAGTATTCATGCTTTGTAAATTTCACAAAAATTCTCGACTGCTGCACATTTTCTGCGAAGTTATGTATAATGCTTTTAATGAACATAACTACAAATAGAAATTTTCACAAAAAGACTACACGTTTTAGCTACCCCTACTACTCATGGCATTTGTTGCACATGGCACAGAATACATTGATGTTAACATTTTTTCAGTTCATCTAGTTTAGCATTCAGTTCCTATGGATTTGTTCTTTGCAGATCTTCACATGGCATTGGACTTTGCGATAAGGGTGAAGCTCTGAATCTGGACAGTTTTCTTCACATAGCTGCCAGCTGACTTGAGCAAATCTTGTGTGCAACTTTCAAGCTTGTTATTTTTTGGTTTTCAGTTCTTCAATTTCTGTAAGAATGGATTTCTGTTTTTGTCCAGCTGCTTCTTCCTACCATTGGAAGCATTGCAGAGAAGAGCCTTAGTCATGGAAACATTCCCAGCACTTCCAACTGTGGCCAAATAGTCTGTGACCAATACATTGTGCAACCAGAACTTGCTGTTTCATATTGTCAGTGAAAATTTCCTTATTGACTAAGAAACCTCTCTCCATTGAGGCCTGTTCAGGCAAGAGCGCCAGCAATCTGCGAACAACTTTCCAGTTTTTAATGTTCTTTGTTGCTAGACAAAGAAGAGTAGAACATGTCCAGATGGTCTTCATTCTTGCTGAAATTCTTGAAAGCGATATATTTCTAGCAGCCTCCACTTCAAATTCTTTGCACTGACTGATGATGTCATCACAATCAGACTTGCTGACTTGTCTTCTGTCCATTATGTCGGAAAGACATCTTTTTAGACTGTCTTCTGTGGCAAATTTTTTTTTCATAAATGGGTTCAGGGTTCAACCATGGAAGTGAACCGTACAAATGTGTGTCCAAGGAGAGAATTTGCCAGAAGTTTCTCAATGATGGTGATGAACAGTGTTGCAATTCTGCATACAAACAGATCTTTTCTTGACACATTTCTTTTTTGGATAAATTTTGCACAGAAATGTCAGAAATCCACACTGGATATTTGCAGCAACTTTATGCAAGTTTGGGTTTGACAAAATTCTTACAAATTCATTCAGTTTGGAAAATGTAATTATCGTTTTAGCGCGGCCTTCCTTTACAAATCTTCTTAACAGTTTCATGATCATACTAAAAAGATCATCTGCAAGGAAAGGAAGCAATGGTTTATTGCTCCGATATTTTATCAGAAAGAGTTCAAAGTCTTTTGAAACAGACACAAAAATCTGCAGTTTCGCCAGAAATAAAATGTCATTCACGTTTTATAACACGGCAAAAAAGGACTTGGTCTGCAGACATTTTTCAGTTTTTTAATTCTTTTTCCTTTTTCTGTGCCATGTCCTTTCAGGACGTAGGCGATCATGGCTCTCCACCTCCCTCCTATCCCTTGCAGCTCTCAGCAAGCTCATTCCCTCTGCTTCCTCCCCTAGACCACGTTCTGTCATTCACTTGCTTAAGCCCGCTAGGTATGTTATGCATTGTTTTCCCTCGTCTCTCTTTCCTTCTATTCGACCCATGAGTATCAGATTCTCCAGGCTCTCCTTCCTCATTATGTGTCCCAGAAATCATAGCTGCCTCTTCATGATGTTAAGTATAAGCTGCCTCTTCATGATGTTAAGTATAAGTCATTCATATGTTTGTACACTTTCTAGCCATCTATAGCAGAAGCACAAAAGTAAAGGGACACGGTTGCCAAATTGAACTTTTAATATAAAGCCAAGCAATATAAAAGCCAAATAAGTTTTAATATATTTCATCAATTTTTTCAAACTTAAAACAGAATCTAGAAATACAAGTCATTATTAGCCTGCAAACTTTAAAAAATAAAATTCTTATTTTTTCAAAGATGCATTTTCTATGCTAAGACACATCAAAAGCCCATTTTCTATCATCCTTCCTGGCTACATTTTCTTTGAGTCAAATTTGATTCTCAAACTTGTTACTTTTGGCAACAATTTAAACATTGTATACACATAGATTCACATTGACACAGGATACGTAAAGTTTCTATTTTTCCAGCAAGAACTCACATACTGCCGACTAGAGGACAAAAGAATTTTTTACTTTTGAAATTGACATGTGAATAAAATTTATCCAGTTGTTCAAATTTTAAAAAGCAATTTTTCGAGATTCTACTAAAATGTATTTTGCTACCGCAAAATAACTTATTATTTTCCTTTCAACTACAAATTTAATGAGTGTGAATAAATTTATCTTTGATGGAGATGTTTACTATGTCTCTGAAAAGTTCTCCACTGCCTTAACCGGGTATTGAACTCACACTCTTTGGGTGCTATCACTGGATCTTTCAGAGGGAAATTAACAGGAGATAACTGATAACTGACATCCATCAAACATGGCACGTGGAAATAGAACAGTCTCCCCCAGTGAGTGAAATAAAGGGTTCAGTTCAACATTCCAACCACCTGAAGAAGGCCGGAGCATACAACAGCTGAAACGTTGTAATAAATATGGCAACAGAGATGATGACAATAATCCGAATAATGTAAATAATGTACATAATACCTCATCTCAGAAATATAGACAGACTCTAAACAAAAATTCTACTGAAAAGGACGTAAAAATTTGCATAGCTAAAGTCCTGGTCACCTTGAATAAAATGGACGTAATCTGGAAACCTGATCTACCAGACAAACTCAAGCGGAGATTCTTTTGTGCCACTGTAGAGTCAATTTTAATGTATGGTGCAACTTCTTAGTGTAGATTCACACCTGAACTGGATACAGATCTACCATTCATCCATTGAATATTGCTGCCATATCTGGTCAGGTGCATTAGTGGGTTAACTTGGAAGATGATGTCCTAGCCATCAAGCATAGATCCATGCCTTAACTGGATACAAATCTACCATTCATCCATTGAATATTGCTGCCATATCTGGTCTGGTGCTCCTGCTATACATCTCGGGATTCTTGACAAAATCCAAAGAAGGAGCAGCTAAACATGGGATGCATACCAGGAAATACAAGATGATCTGAATTGAATTTAATGTCAATAAGTAACCTTTGGTCAAAGAAGTTCAACCTAGTTTACACCAATATAATTTAATATTATCTGTGCTCACCCCAGATTATATTAAAATAGTTTTGATATTTTACCAGAGTGTCAGAAGTCAGGTGCATTAGTGGGTTAACTTGGAAGATGATGTCCTAGCCATCAGGCATAGATCCATGCCTTAACTGAATACAAATCTACCATTCATCCATTGAATATTGCTGTCAGAGAAGTCAGGTGCATTAGTGGGTTAACTTGGAAGATGATGTCCTAGCCATCAGGTGTAGATCCATGCCTTAACTGAATACAAATCTACCATTCATCCATTGAATATTGCTGTCAGAGAAGTCAGGTGCATTAGTGGGTTAACTTGGAAGATGATGTCCTAGCCATCAGGTGTAGATCCATGCCTTAACTGGATACAAATCTACCATTCATCTATTGAATATTACTGCCAGAGAAGTCAGGTGCATTAGTGGGTTAACTTGGAAGATGATGTCCTAGCAATCAGGCGTAGATCCATGCCTTAACTGGATACAAATCTACCATTCATCCATTGAATATTGCTGCCAGAGAAGTCAGGTGCATTAGTGGGTTAACTTGGAAGATGATGTCCTAGCCATCAGGTATAGATCCATGCCTTAACTGGATACAAATCTACCATTCATCCATTGAATATTGCTGTCAGAGAAGTCAGGTGCATTAGTGGGTTAACTTGGAAGATGATGTCCTAGCCATCAGGCATAGATCCATGCTTTAACTGAATACAAATCTACCATTCATCCATTGAATATTGCTGCCAGAGAAGTCAGGTGCATTAGTGGGTTAACTTGGAAGATGATGTCCTAGCCATCAGGCGTAGATCCATCCCATAACTGGATACAAATCTACCATTCATCTGTGCTTTGAGACCCCTGAATCTAAGCTTCATGGAACCTACACTCAGATGCTGAGACCTATACTGAACATCTCTTGGAGATAACATCCGACAAAATCACAGTTCTATGGACCCATCCCTAATATTTCTACAATCTTATGCGGGCGCAGATTGCACTTTGCAGGACACTGCTGGCGAGCAAAACAAGAACTTGCAAGTGGTCTACTGCTCTGGACACCTAACAATGGTTGGTCACCCAGTAACCACCTACATTGACCACCTATGTTATGCCACTCTAATGACTTTCTGACCTTGGTGCAGGAACATGATGGTTGGTGGGATAGACTCGTGAATGTCTGAGCTAGCTTGGCCAAATAAAAATAAATAGATGGGTATATATTATTCATTAGGGTAATTAATTTAATATGCGAAAAGTAAGTCCTATAAGTATATGCTTGTAGTATAGCAGTTATTGCAGAAGGTGAGTCTGGTGTTTGGAGTTCAAATTCCAGCCAAGGTTGTTGTCATAGCATTTGCTCAAATGTTCTTGAAGAGCCAGATCAGGCCAAATGTTTACGGTCAAATCACGCTGAAAACACCGGTTCTCGTTCGATCACCGAAGTTAAGCATCGTAGAGCCAGGTCAGTATTCTTAGATGAGGGACCGCTTGGGAACACCTGGTACTGTAAGCCCCCAAAGTCCAACCCATACCTCACAGTCGGTGGGGGGGTAAACGGTAGTGTCAGAGCTATGCCGTCGAACTTTGTTCCTGGTAGGGCCACCAAAGGCGGACAGGTCTGACACACACGCCTTATAACAAGGGCTCTGGTGAAAATCCAAGGAGCGTCTGCATCGGTAACCGGCGGCTCTGGTCGTTCCTGTCTCTGCGTCTGTAGGAATCCCGCGGCAAGCAAGAACGTTATCCGAGTAAGCCTGGGTACCCTACTTCTGTATTTTATCCCAAGAATCTTCTTCTCACAACAGGAAGAAGCCGGCTTAATCCGCCCAGGGTGAATGCCGCATCAAGACAAGACAAGAAGATCAGGCCAAATGGAGCACTGCTGCCATATATTGGCCAAAGATGCCCAGTTTTCACTTTCCAGTCTTAATAGGGCCCAAAAACGTCTCCACGGCCTTGTGGGTGATGGCAAACCTCTTACTACTCTATCGTGATTCCCAGGGTAAGTGTTCAGGTTAGTCCACCTGTTCTAACCTTCACGTTTAAGACCTTCCATGCCATGTACATTGTAGCAAACCATCTACATTCCCTTTGTATTCCATTGGTGAGATACGAGTTCTACTCAAACAGCTTCTTCCCACAAACAGTTGCTTTGTGGAATCAACATCTAAGAGGATGTCTTCTCAATAACTACAATCTTAACCTCTCCAAATCTAGGGTTAACCATTACCTTCCCCATAAACTGTGTCCCTTACCTATTCTGTAATCCTCTACCTCAGGTGCCTCTTGGGCCTTTTATGCAGGGGGAGGAGTTGATCATTACTGTTAAAAAAAAAAATTCTTCTCCCAACCTCCCTCCCTCCACACTTAAATAGCAGGAAAAACTCGGCTCTCTAGATTTAGTTGACAGTCTACGAGAAGGAAAACTCTGAATTCAAGACTGGTTGGCTAGCAAATCTAGCTATTAAAAACCTACTTGTTATAGAAACCATAGCAGCAATATCTAGCGTGGTGGAGATGTAGCCATGTACTCAACTGGGAGTCTACAGGGTTGAAGAGAAGTCTAAGTCCTATCAGTAGAGCCAACGTGCACTAGAGTCAATATAGACAGAGTGGGCTATCTTTCACAAACAGGTCAAAAAAGGTATATATAAATCCAGCTTGAGTTTACAAAAGTATTGTATTTCCAGACTTCACAAGTCGAAAAAGGTACTTGTAGATTCAGCCTGCAGTCAGTTAGTTCTGTGCCATGTATGATACACACTTAGGCGATCATGTACCTTTTGATATATGACTGATGAAGCAGATATTTTCCCTCAGTAGGTTGCCATTTCTTTCTGCAGTAGACCAGTTGCCATCCAAGGCTATAGAACCCTGTCTGTCCTGATATTTATCCATAGGTGGAGAGAGGGAGAGAAGAAGCGGATTCATACCTTTCCCGTATTAGCACGTAAGTGAATGTAATGGATTCGACTGAAATTCGAACTCGGCACTGTGATTCCTCAATCAGTTATGTGTCATGCGTGATACATGCTTAGGCGATCATATATCGTTCGATACATGACTGACGAGGCAGATTTTTTTTCCCTGCAGTAGGTTGCCATTTCTTTCTGCAATAGACCGATTACTATCCAAAGCTATAGAACCTGATCTGTCCTGCTATTTACCCATAGCTGGGGGGTGGGGGAGAAGAGGATTCATAAATTTTCCAAGGGTATTAGCACGTAAGTGAATGTAATATCCTTGGGAAAGGTATGAATCCTCTTCTTCTCCCCGCCAGCTATGAGTAAATAGCAGGACAGACCCGGTTCTATAGGCTTGGATGGCAACTGGTCTACTGCAGAAAGAAATGGCAACCTATTGCGGGAAAAATTCTGCCCCATCAGTCATGTATCAGAAGATACATGATCGCCTAAGTGTGTATCACGCATGGCACATAACTGACTGACTGCAGGCTGCACTACAGTTAAAAAAAAAAAAAAGAAAAGGTATACATAGGTTCTGCTTGACTTGTACTAGAGACAGAAATGTTATATGTAGATCCAGCCTGCACGAGAGTCACAAATGACACAGTTTTAGTTTATATCTGATTCTGTAAGTATTCACACAGAACATGGCTCTTTTTGGAATGAGAGATGTCTTACTCTACTCCAAGGGATGCTGTTGGCATATTCTAAGCTCTATCAACAGGACAGATATGCAACTGAAACAGTAACATGACAGCTTTCATATATTAGTAGTAGCAGTGATCTTCAAAATTCATATTTTTTTCAAGATGTTTTTATCTAAAGATAATTAATCATTTTAGATCCCATGATGACTGGGCAAAAACTTAGAAATGTTCACAGGGCTTTAGAGGTCATACTTGACAGATGACTAGTCTGAAGTGGATAAAATGAAGTAGTTTCTTTCTGAATTTCTGGAATGATGAGTTATTATTGTGTCCAGTCTAATATTAGCAGATTTCTGTCAGAATTTCTGGAATGAGCAGTTATCATTGTGTCCAGTCTAATATTAGCAAATTTCTGTCAGAATTTCTGGAATGAGCAGTTATCATTGTGTCCAGTCTAATATTAGCAAATTTCTGTCAGAATTTCTGGAATGAGCAGTTATCATTGTGTCCAGTCTAATATTAGCAAATTTCTGTCAGAATTTCTGGAATGAGCAGTTATCATTGTGTCCAGTCTAATATTAGCAAATTTCTGTCAGAATTTTGGGGATGGGGAGTTATCATTAAGTCCAGTCTAATATTAGCAAATTTCTGTCAGAATTTCTGGAATGAGCAGTTATCATTGTGTCCAGTCTAATATTAGCAAATTTCTGTCAGAATTTCTGGAATGAGCAGTTATCATTGTGTCCAGTCTAATATTAGCAAATTTCTGTCAGAATTTCTGGAATGAGCAGTTATCATTGTGTCCAGTCTAATATTAGCAAATTTCTGTCAGAATTTTGGGGATGGGGAGTTATCATTGTGTCCAGTCTAATATTAGCAAAATTCTGTCAAATTTCTGGAATGAGCAGTTATCATTGTGTCCAGTCTAATATTAGCAAATTTCTGTCAGAATTTCTGGAATGAGCAGTTATCATTGTGTCCAGTCTAATATTAGCAAATTTCTGTCAGAATTTCTGGAATGAGCAGTTATCATTGTGTCCAGTCTAATATTAGCAAATTTCTGTCAGAATTTCGGGGATGGGGAGTTATCATTGTGTCCAGTCTAATATTAGCAAATTTCTGTCAGAATTTCTGGAATGAGCAGTTATCATTGTGTCCAGTCTAATATTAGCAAATTTCTGTCAGAATTTCTGGAATGAGCAGTTATCATTGTGTCCAGTCTAATATTAGCAAATTTCTGTCAGAATTTCTGGAATGAGCAGTTATCATTGTGTCCAGTCTAATATTAGCAAATCTCTGTCAGAATTTCTGGAATGAGCAGTTATCATTGTGTCCAGTCTAATATTAGCAAATCTCTGTCAGAATTTCTGGAACGAGCAGTTATCATTGTGTCCAGTCTAATATTAGCAAATCTCTGTCAGAATTTTGGGGATGGGGAGTTATCATTGTGTCCAGTCTAATATTAGCAAATTTTTGTCAGAATTTCTGGAATGAGCAGTTATCATTGTGTCCAGTCTAATATTAGCAAATTTCTGTCAGAATTTCTGGGATGAGCAGTTATCATTGTGTCCAGTCTAATATTAGCAAATTTCTGTCAGAATTTCTGGAATGAGCAGTTATCATTGTGTCCAGTCTAATATTAGCAAATTTCTGTCTGAATTTCGGGGATGGGGAGTTATCATTGTGTCCAGTCTAATATTAGCAAATTTCTGTCAGAATTTCTGGAATGAGCAGTTATCATTGTGTCCAGTCTAATATTAGCAAATTTCTGTCAGAATTTTGGGGATGGGGAGTTATCATTGCGTCCAGTCTAATATTAGCAAATTTCTGTCAGAATTTCTGGAATGAGCAGTTATCATTGTGTCCAGTCTAATATTAGCAAATTTCTGTCAGAATTTCTGGAATGAGCAGTTATCATTGTGTCCAGTCTAATATTAGCAAATTTCTGTCAGAATTTCTGGAATGAGCAGTTATCATTGTGTCCAGTCTAATATTAGCAAATTTCTGTCAGAATTTTGGGGATGGGGAGTTATCATTGTGTCCAGTCTAATATTAGCAAATTTCTGTCGGAATTTCTGGAATGAGCAGTTATCATTGTGTCCAGTCTAATATTAGCAAATTTCTGTCAGAATTTCTGGAATGAGCAGTTATCATTGTGTCCAGTCTAATATTAGCAAATTTCTGTCAGAATTTCTGGAATGAGCAGTTATCATTGTGTCCAGTCTAATATTAGCAAATTTCTGTCAGAATTTCTGGAATGGGGAGTTATCATTGTGTCCAGTCTAATTTTAGCAAATTTCTGTCAGAATTTCTGGAATTTTGAGCAGTTATCATTGTGTCCAGTCTAATATTAGCAAATTTCTGTCAGAATTTCTGGAATGAGCAGTTATCATTGTGTCCAGTCTAATATTAGCAAATTTCTGTCAGAATTTCTGGAATGAGCAGTTATCATTGTGTCCAGTCTAATATTAGCAAATTTCTGTCAGAATTTCTGGAATGAGCAGTTATCATTGTGTCCAGTCTAATATTAGCAAATCTCTGTCAGAATTTCTGGAATGAGCAGTTATCATTGTGTCCAGTTTAATATTAGCAAATTTCTGTCAGAATTTTGGTGATGGGAAGATATAATTGTGTCCAGTCTAAAGTCCTCATCTTTCTGTCTGATTTTTGGGATGGGGAGTTATCATTATTTGTGTCCAGTCTAATATTATCATCTTTTTGCATTAATTTTTGGGATGGGCAGTTATTATTTGTGTCCAGTTTAATGTCCTCATCTTTCTATCTGAATTTCTGGAATGAGGAGTTATCATCATTTGTGTCCAGATTAATGTCCTCATTGTTCTGTCAAAAAAGGAAGACTAGACTGGTTGTCACTATAACCAAAAAAAAAACAAAAAAA